CACGAATTTCGTGCACTGGGCCTCTAGTCTATACTGTAAAAGGGTAATATGCTAATTAGACCAGATGTCTTCCGAACATCCTTCTGGACAAAGCCATGGTGGTGGAAGCTGAGGGAGAGGCGGTGATCAGGCAGGCAGGCAGAGCAGTTAGGGGACAATCAGGCCAGCAGGGGAGGGCAGTTAGGCAGCAATCAGGCAGGCAGGCAGGTGAGCGGTTAGGAGCTAGCAGTCCAGATTGTGAGGATATCTGACAGCCGGTAGTCAGACATCCCCTGAGGGGTCCCAGATTGGAGAGGGTGCTGGCCGGGCTGAGGGACACCTGCCCCCATGCACAAATTTTGTGCACCGGGCCTCTAGTCTATATATATAAAAGCCTAAGCGACTGTTACAACTGGTTACCAAACGACCAGTCACTGTGACATGCACTGACCACCAGTGGGCAGATGCTCAACGCAAGAGCTGCCCCCTGGTGGTCAGTGAACTCCCACAGCCAACATCCTGTGGCTGGCCAACCTCCCTCAGTCTCTCCCCCAGGCTGGCCAGCCCAATGGGCCCTGATTGGGACTGGTCGAAGCAGCCCGGATCAGCCCCAATTGCCAGTCAGGCCGAGGGACCCCACCTGTGCACTAATTTGTGCACCAGGCCTCTAGTATCATAATAAAAAACCAAGATGTTGAGGTGGCTAAGGCAATAAATTTGGAGATAAAGCATCCAGGGTTGGGTCATAGCCCAGACACAGCTATGCAGCTTTTGGTAACTTATCTTTCAGTCATTTTCCTCATCTACAAAATGAGTTTATGCCATATTCATCAACAAACAAGACAGTTGAAATGGTCAATAACTTTTGGTATTACAAGACACAAGTTTCACTGCCTGCAACTTCTAAGAAAAAATTGGTTCTTTATTTTAAAAATTGATTTTAGAGGGAGAAAGGGGGTTGGGGAGAGAGAAACATACAAGGATTGGTTGCCTCCCACATGTGTACCGACCAGGGATGGAACCAGAAACCTAGATATGATCCCTGACAGGGGCGTGGAACCCAGGACTCTCCGTGCAGGGACAACACTCCAACCAACTGGGCCACACTGGCCAGGGCGCTTCAATTCTTTTAATTTCCCCATCTCAGGTATACATTTTGAATGTACATCTTCAGAGGCTCTTATGTTGTTGTGTCTCAAAAATGCCCACTTGTACAAACTTTGGGAATGGTAAAGGCAACTACCAGAAAAAAATTTCTCCAAAGATTGTCCAATTCCTGTAAATATGCTACATGTCATGAATGGAACATCTACAACAGGTGAATTTTATGGTATGTAAATTCAGCCTCAATAATACTGTTAATGAATCAAGTTCAATAGATGACTCTGCCAGCAATTAGACCCCCTAAGGAACAGTTTATAAAAGAAATCTAGGTTTTTGATCAAGTTCAAATGATCCTGAATATCTTAAGAACTACAGTGGGATGAGCGCAGTAAGAAACCAGTCAGGTTTCTCCGACAGAGAAAGCGAGTTCATTGGCTCGGAAACTTGCAGGACTAATCCTCACAAACACCCAGCTGCCTGGGCTCCTCCAGTCCTGCCCCCCAATCTCCCGTATCCTCCGGAGTGGGCGCCTACGGGGAGGCCGAGCAGCCCTTCGTGTCCGTTCTCCAACCCCGTCTGCGCGCGGGGCGGGGCGGGGCGGGGGGGAGAGGGGGGGTCTGACAAGGTCAAGCCTTGCTGGCAAAGCGGACTACCTGCCCTCTGCACTGGCCAACCCCGCGGCTACCCCGCACACGGAGGCGACCCCTGACACCGAGGTTCCCCCGCACATGGAGGTTCCCCCGCACACGGAGGTTCCCCGAACACAAAGGTGACCCCGCACAGGGAGGTGACCCCGCACAGGGAGGTTCCTCGCACACGGAGGTGACCCCGCACACGGAGGTTCCCCGCACACGGAGGCGACCCCGCACACGGAGGTTCCCCGCACACGGAGGCGACCCCGCACACGGAGGTTCCCCGCACACGGAGGTTCCTCGCACACGGAGGCGACCCCGCACACGGAGGCGTCCCCGCACACGGAGGCGACCCCGCACACGGAGGCTCCCCGCACACGGAGGCGACCCCGCACACGGGGGTGACCCCGCACACGGAGGATCCCCGCACTAAAGAGGCGCAGGCGCCGCCGCTCGGCCGGCCTGAAACGGCGGGCGGGGCTTCACGGTGGCCGAGCCTCAGTCACTGAGATCTTCAAGTTACGGGCGCCGCCCAGACCCCACGACTCAGCTTTGGGTGGGGGCCCCAACCCCAGTCTGACGGCGCCGATGAGCGGAACCCCGGAAGCCGACCCCACTCCACAGGATTAACCTCGAGGGCAAGCACAGCGCCGCACCAAGGTCTCCCGCAAGGAAGCCCCGTGTCGGCACACTAGGGGGCGCGCCCGCGCTGGTCCGGACTCCGCCTCACTTGCACCTGTTTTCCCGGGAGGCCGCCTCTTCGGCTTCGCCCCCGCCCCCGATAGGCTGGAATCGAGGCCCGACCCCCTCGTCAGCGGGTTCCCGCCCTGAAACAGCTCCTTCCACCAGCCAGTCATTACCGCCAGCCAGTCACCACGAGCTACTCCTCGTCGTCTTCGCCCCCTTCCGCCTCCGGTGCCGACAGCCACGCCCCCAGGCGAGAGCTGCTCCGGCCCCTCCCGCGCAGGGCTGCGCAGGCGCAGCTACGTCAGGGGCGCGCAGGCGCAGGCGCAGGAGCGCGGACTCCCCTGTGGGATGGGCTGGCTCGCAGCTGTGGGCGGAGCGGCGTCCGCAGTTTGGCTGCGTTGACCGTGAAATCCCAGTGGGAGTCGGGCGCAGGCGGCGCCCGCGCCTGTCATGCTCTAAGAGCCCCTCTCTTGCAGAAGTGGACGCCTCCAGAAATGTAGGAATATTTATTTTGTCAGCCACAAAGTTTGTGATACTTTGTTACCGAAGGATCAGGAAACGAATACATCGCCTGTTTTCCAAAGTAAATTTACCCATTTACACACAAATGGAGCTTTGAAAAAAATATGCAGACTTCAGCCTCACACCACACTAACTGAACTGTAACCTCTGGACAGGCTCAGAAAAAAAGAGTTAAGTTCACGACACACCTCGGAGGTTGAGAGCCACTTACCCAAATCTAAATCCAGCTCCCGCCATGGAAGCCAGTGTGCGGTGATTTGGCCACAGCGCTGAAAGCAGTTCTGGTCAGACGGTTCCAGGCCCCGGAAGGGTCCCTCTCCCGCCTCTGTGCAGAGTTAACATAGCCAACCTTCGAGTCTGCTCTGCGGTTGAACAGTCCGTTTATGCTAACTCAATTCACAAAGAAGCATTAAGACTGAAGCCCCTCTACTTGCAGAATATTTTTCTTTAATATGCTAATGAAGGGCTCTTTCACAAACTGCCACCCCTTGGCACCTTGGCCTTCATGGAGAGCTTGCTTCCAGGAGCTGGTAGGACTCCTGGTTCCTCAGAGAAGAGCAGCGCTGGAACATGGGCGACAGCCTGCCTGGCTCATGGGATGGTGCGGTCCTTGCCATCCTTGCGCTGAGGCTGCAGCAGGCAGCTGACCCTTGGGGAATCCAACAAGAAGGTAGTTGAACAGGTTGGGCTACAGGTGGAGGTTCTGGGCAGGGTCCCCTCATGCCAGCCCAAGGATATTCTTGAAAGGTACGTGAGCTTCTTACATTGCAGCCAAGGATCTTAGGATTCCTTAGCAGTGATACCACCAACTGCTGGGCCTCCACTCGGTGACCAATTTAAAAGTCCTGAGAAGCCCTGTGCAGTTTCCATCACAAAACTGTGTCATCAGAATGAATGAAGAGCAATCCAGTGTTGAAACTCTAAACTACATGGGGCTAATAGTTGGAGTATTTTCCTGACAAATGTCAGGTATCACTGTTTGCCTTTACAATTTAAAACACTCCATGGCCTGCTGATCCCTGCAGTGCACCAGAGTGCCTTGGCACTCAGTTTGAGAGCCATGGCTATGATAGTTTAAAAATGAGTGATTCTCACCCAGCCTGTGTGGCTCAGTGGTTGAGTGTTAACCCATGAACCAGGAGGGCACTGGTTAGATTCCTGGTCAGGACAACATGCCCAGATTGTGTGCTCCATCCCCAGTAGGGAGTGTGCAGGAGGCATCCAATCAATAATTCTCTCATATCATTGTTTCTATCTCTCTATCCCTCTCCCTTCCTCTCCCTGAAATCAATAAAAATATTTTTTAAAAAGAGTGATTCTCATTTTTTCTTAGAATGCATATTCAAGCTAATCATTTTCTTCCAAAGTGCTACTACGGTAAAATCCAATGTAACCTGACTCCTTCCACCCTGAAGACCCCCTAAAACTAAGCCCCACAGGAGACCACAGCAGGCACTGAGTCTCCACAGGCCTCTCTAGATTCTGACATTCCTACAGAAGACATCTTAGATAAATCTAAAATTCCTTTGGAAGAAGAGCAATTAACTATTTTAAATAAAATAAATTAGAAATTATACTTTTTAGAAAGTAGCCGATTAATTTAGAAATTGGCCTACTATTAGGCAAACACTGACAGACAATATTAAATGCTAAGAAAATAAAAAACACAATACAGTCCATTGAACATTTATAAAAATTCTTGATGACTTTCCTACCCTGCAATATTTCATATCTGATTTTCACACCTAGTTACCAAAGAGATAAAATAGATTCAAATTACAGAATACAGCTTTACCTGGATTCATAAGTGGGCATAGCCAATAAATGTTTCATTCTAGAAACAGGCTGTTAACTATACTGGTAGATATAAATATTCTAACTAAACAAAAGTTCTGATTAATATCCTGCTTAAAATAAAGTTAATAATAAATATAACTGGATATTACCATAGTACAAGTAACAATCTAGACTAGACCATAAATAAATGTATAGAACATTTATGATTATGACAAAAGTTGAATGCCAAACATCAAAGGAGAGAACAGATTGAAGTAAAAAATTTCTGAAGCATTTAATTCATCATGTAGCCATATACAAGATGTTGAAGGAAATGTCTGTATCTGCTGAGTTCTTGTTGGCAGCAATGAGAAGGCAGAACTTTCTTATGCGTTGTTATTCTGTCCAGTCTCACAATCAGAAGCAATCTTTGATTTGTTAGATGCTTCATAAGCTTGGATAATAAGTCTTAGGTGAATGATAATTTCCTTGTCTGCTGTTTTCATGTTAAATCCCAACATCTTCATGATAGTTTCTCGAAAGTCGACTTCCTTCAAAGAGCCACCACAAAATTCAAGACATGTCATTAGTTTTGGTCACCTACTTACTGTATACGATGAAATTGGTATGAGAAAATTAGTCTTATTAAATATTTCTTTGTGAAATATAACATCCTATATTCAAGTATTTTTAATCTAGAAAAATGGTCTCTTCTGTTACAAGTAGCCTTTATGTAAAATTTTCTTTTAAGATTTTTTTTCTTATTTTTACACTTTTGTAGACTAAACTTAATTTTATTGCTGCTTATGTTTCATCTATAAGGTAACTTCTTTTTGAACTTCTGTTTTGCTGTGGAGTAATAGCAACAAATACATTTCTCTAAATACATATTTCTCCACCCATCCTTCTAAAACCACGTGGCTCACAAGCTGTAGTTTGCCAACCACTGACTTAAAGAATCTTAATATAGTTATGATAATTTAAAAAAAACAAAAACAAAACCTCTTGTGGTCGTCCTGATACTTCAAGTGTGTTCTTTTCTGTGCAGAGCTCAGGAGTGACAGCATCTAAGATCTGATGGGTCCCGTCTTTGTCCCATCTTGCCTCTTGCTTGGTCGGGTCTAATGTAGTTTTCAAGTTATCTGTTTTCATAGCTGCCTTCCCTTTCATTGCTTCAACTTTTATTAAAGATTGCCTGAGCTTCTGAATTGTTTTGTCCTGTGAGGGTATAAAGTTAAGGTTGGGGGAAAGTGAGATGACTGTGATTAGATCTCTTTTAAATAATAGGTAGGCATGATGAATGATAACTCATGCTTCTATTCTTTCCTTTAAAAAAAAAAAAGGAAATAGATACATGGAAAAGAACATCCCACAACTTGTGAATTAAGAGGACATTTCTCCACCATCATACTCATCAATAACCAACAATCACTGAACACTTTTATAAACTAGGCACTTGGGTTAAAAGAGGGTGAACAAGTGTTCCATGTCCTCAAAAGTCTTATAGTACAGCCTGTGCTGATTAAATACAGAAACAGAGAAAATAAGTGGCTCTGTAGTAAGAAATATTGCTGATAAAAAAGTTGATCAATAAGTATTTAGTGCACCTGTGGTTTAAGATTAAAAAAAAATGTATATTTGAAATACTACAACTGAAGCTTGAAATAGAGAAGGTCCAAAGAGGAGCCCAAAAATGACTAAAATGTTTAACTATTACCCCAATAAAAAAGACAAAAGTAAGACTAAAACAAAAAAGCAAGGGATCCAGAAGTTACCTTTGAGGAGTAGGAAGAGGAATACTTAAGGGCTTTCATGGAATTGATATTAGTCTGTTTTTTTAAGATTAGTAATAGATTTGCAGGCATCAGCTGTTATTATATATGCTTTAATATTATATACATTCTTTTGTATGCGTGTAAAATAATTTTAACGTTAACTTTTAAAAGTTTGATGAGACCTATGCAGCTAAAATAGTAACAATCAAAGCTTAAATACATTTTTGAAAGCCTCACTTCCTTTACTTACTTTAAGGATATTGACTCTTGTCAGTTGGGTTTTCATATTTTTATTTGACAATTTCAAATCACTGAGCTGTTTATGAAGTTGCCGGATTTCTTCCTCTAACCTTTGAGTTGTTGCAATTTGCAAATTCTGCTTAATAGTTAGTAATGTTTGTTGTTTGTTGTCTTTCTCTAGCTGTTTAAATATCTTGCTGTTCTCATCTATTCGGGCATTTTTAGTCCTGGAGTTTTCCTTTGAAGAAATCAATAGTATTGAAATAAAGAAGTTGTGTTTTATGATGGTGTTCTACACTAGCAAACCAGATCTACTCTAGACTGATAAGCTGCAGACTAAACTATTTACATAAGTAAAATATTTTTTCACCATAAATATGCATTATTAAAATAATCCAGAAAGTAAAATACGACAATAAAAGTGATGGCTCAGTGCTATCAAGGGTAAAGTTAAGTAGACAATTTTATTAACACCAGGTGGTGGCACAGGTTACCGCAACTTTTCTAGGAATGTATTATAGGAAATAACCCAATATTTAGATAACAATTCATGCACCAAGATAATATTTACATTATTCATAACATGAAAAATAAAAATGCAAATGTCAAAAAGAATAATTAGATAAATGACACGATTGATTACAGATTTCCTAGAAATCAAGTTTTCAAAAATTTCTAGTAAGAGAAAATACTAACGATATAGTTAAATGAAAAAAGCAGGATGAGAAAAACTGTGCCTATCTCAATTATGTCAAAATATACATGGAAAATAATCAGAAGGAAATATACCTATTAACACTGGTTATCTCCTCCAAGTGGTAGAATTAGTGGTGATTTTAAAAAATTTATCTTTATTGTCAAAAGTATTACATATGTCCCTTCTTTCCCTGTGATTTTAATTGTATTCTTTCTTACCTGTAATTTATAAAATTACTACCAGGAAAAAAAAATAGAAAAAAAAGGTGTGGGTTTTAAAAAGACACCATATATTTTCATTATATATAAATAAAAAACTAGTAAAATGTATATAAAAACACTTTGGAAAGATAAAATAGATGTTCCAGGCAAGCCTGGTTAAAGAGGGAAGAAAGTAAAAACATATGATATTAGGAAGGAGAACCATACTGAATGCATAGATAGAGAAAATATACCAATCATTCTAAAAGAATATTTTATAACTCAGGAAAATAAGTTGAGAATATAAAAGAAATATATCATTTCCTAAAAAACAATATAATAATATACACTCATGTCCAGAAAACCCAAGAACTTTAGTAAAGAATATTATTGGACTGAATAAACAAATTCAGTAAGGATATTTAATAAAATATAAACATATCAAAGGTTTTTATCTATGTTAATAATAAGTATTTCAATTAGAAATGGGATAATATGCTATTCACAATGAGCAGAAAAATCTATAAAAGAACAAATTTTACAAGACTTATATGAGGGACTTACAGTACTTACATGAAGAACATTATAAAATCCTATTGGAATACATAAAATAAGATCTATTAAAGAGAAAGAGGTCATGTACCAAATTATCAAAAATTATCAGACTAAAACCATAACTATTTAAATTATGGATATCTGAAAAAGTAGTATATAAGTATATTAATAATCTCATTTTAAGTAGACATTTTGAAATACTGAGAATCAAAAATATATTTTTAATTTGTCCAAAATTATATCATTACAAAGCTGAGTAAAATGTAAACAATACTTACAAATTGCCACTTTGACAAATATAAAATTCACATGAACAGATCAACTCATACAGTGTAATCATTAACCAACTTTACTATTGTCCTTTGTTGTTCCTTTAAATGTATTCTGTAGGACTAATTCTTCATTTGCCACTAAATGAAATTTAGGGCAAGGTCATGTTTTTCCTGATCACTTTCAATTTAATGTAAAATTATAACAATTTTACTCAAAGTTATGGCTACTCAGGAGATAAGAAAAACACTAACATTAAGAAATTATAGAGCAGAACCTCTCTGGAGATCCAAACCAGAACTTGGCTGGAGATCCTGGCTGGAGATCCTGGCTAGGCTGCTGATCAACTGAACACTGTCTCCGTGTCCTTCCTTCTTCGCCGACTCCGTCTACGCCTTTGGGAACCCCTGGACCTGCTGGGGTTGGACCCCGGCAATTCAGGTTGTTTCCATGTATTGGCTATTGTAAATTAATAGTTTAAGAAACAAGTAGTTTGCCCTGACTGGTTTGGCTCAGTGGATAGAGCGTCGGCCTGCGGACTGCAGGGTCCTGGGTTTGATTCTGGTCAAGGGCATGTACCTTGGTTGCAGGCACGTCCCCAGTAGGGGGTGTGCAGGAGGCAGCTGATCAATGTTTCTCTCTCATCGATGTTTCTAACTCTCTATCCCTCTCCTTTCCTCTCTGTAAAAAATCAATAAAAATATATATTTTTTAAAAAGAAAAAAAAAAGAAATTATAAAGAAAACCAAGTAAAAATATTGGATATCACAAAAATAATAGTTGAAATAAACAACACAGATGAGATCAATAGGATGGATAAAGCTAAGAAACTCTCATAGGAGGCAGCAGGAAAGGATAAAAATATATAAAACAGTTTTTAAAATATATTAAGGTTTTTCAAAGAGGCAGTATCAATAGGGCGGTGTGCATGCGTGGGTGCGTGGGTGTGCATGTGTGCATGTGTGTGTGTACATGTGTTTATTTAAGAGACAGAAAGAGATTTGGCTAATCACAATTGTGAGTGCTGGCAAGTCCAAAATCTGCAGGGCAACCCAGCAAGCTGGCGACGTAGGCGAGTTGATATCGTGGCTCAATCCAAAGGCAATTTGTAGGTGGAATCCCTCTTCCTCAGGAGGCCTCAGTCTTTTTTCTCTAAAAGCCTTCAACTGATAGGATGGGGCCCACCAAAATTATGGGAAATAATCTGCTTTACGCAGTCTTCTGATTCAAATGTTACTTAGATCTAAAATGTAACATCTAGACTGCTTTTTGAACAAACATCTGGGCACCAAGTTGACACATAAAGTTAACCATTAAACAAAGAAATGAAGGACTGAATTAGAATCTAACCTTCAGCCCGGCCAGTGTGGCTCAGTGGTAGAGTGTCAACCCATAAACCAAGAGATCACTGGTTCGATTCCCGGGGGGGGGGGGGGGTACTTGAAATATCAGGAGGACTACTCTGTAAAGTATATAGTTGTCTAACCATTATGTTGTACACCTGAAACTAATACAGAATAATATTGAATGTGAGCTATAATTGAAAAAAAAAAAAGATGGAAAATTGTATATGTCTTTCATCACAATAAAAAATAATTTTAAAAGCCAACCTTCAGATACTAGTCACAGGAGATAATATAAAAAAGAAGAGTTAAAAAAAAGAAATAGAGCAGTGATGGCGAACCTATGACATGCGTGTCAGAGGTGACATGCGAACTCATTTTTTTGGTTGATTTTTGTTAAATGGCATTTAAATATATAAAATAAATATCAAAAATATAAGTCTTTGTTTTACTATGGTTGCAAATATCAAAAAATTTCTATATGTGACATGGCACCAGAGTTAAGTTAGGGTTTTTCAAAATGCTGACACGCTGAGCCAAAAGGTTCGCCATCACTGAAATAGAGGGTGTAAAATGTTGAAATAAATGAAAAAATTGACAGATGAAAGAATTAGATTAAAAAGTTCAGCCCTGCCGATGTGGCTAAGTGACTGAGCATCGACCAGGAGGTCCCAGTTAGATTCCCAGTCAGGGCATATGCCCGGGTTGTTAGCTTGCTCCCCAGTAAGTGGCATGCAGGAGGCAGCCAATCGATGTTTCCTTCTCATTTATGTTTCTATATCTTTCTCCCTCTCTCTTCTCTCTGAAATCAATAAAACATACTTTTTTAAAAAGTTCATAAAGTGCAAACAAGAGAGATAAGGAAAAACCACATATCTAAGCATATTATAACAAAACTAGAGGCCCGGTGCATGAAATTTGTGCACTCAGGTGGGGGGGTCCCTCAGCTCAGCCTTGTGCCCTTTCGCAGTCTGGGAGCCCTCACGGGATGTCCGACTGATGGCTTAGGCCCGCTTCCCGTGAGCCCAGCTCAGGGCTTCTGGCTGAGTGGCGCTCCCCCTGTGGTAGCACACTGACCACCAGGGGACAGCTCCTGCATTGAGCACCTGCCCCCTGGTGGTCAGTGCACATCATAGCGACCAGTCATTCTGCCATTCAGTTGATTTGCATATTAGCCTTTTATTATATAGGATTTAAGAACATCAAAGCAAACAAGAAAAGTCTAAAAGCTTCCTGAAAGAGTAAATCATCTACAAAGGAATAAGAATCACATTGATATCAGACATCTCAACAGTAACAGGGGAAGCCAGTAGATAGTTTCGAAGGATTTTACGAAGGAACTTTGAACTTAGAAGTTTATATCCAGCCAAACTGTCATTCAAATATGAGGGTATAATAAAAATATTATCAGGCACATGTGGTGTCAGAAAGTTTGCCAAAGATCCAATTGTTAAAAATTCATGTAGAAAAGGAGGATGCTACAAAAGATATGCAACTGAAGGTGATCATATACCTTGTTCAAGTTTAGTGGTTATCTAAAAATAATTAGGACCAAGTTAAAGAAAACAGAAAAAGTATACTCAAATAGCCCACAAATTAAGAATTTAGAGAATAATAATATATTTGGGGGTTGAGGTCAGAGACCAAACAGGTATGACATTCTTGTAAATATTAAAATAAATAAGTTTTGTTCTTAGAGAACACCAGCATCAAAATAAAAAAAAAGAATATACAGCTTTAAAACCAGCAGAAAAAGATTGATTTATCTAAAAGAAACCTGGAAAATGAACCCCCGGCGGGGAAGTAAAATATATTGAAATTATTAAATAAGTTAACAAAAATATATCCTAATATAATAATTGCAATAAATGTAAATGTGTTAAATTCACCAATTGGCCCAGCCAGTGTGGCTCAGTGGTTGAGAATCAGAAGGTCATGGTTCGACTCCCAGTCAGGGCACATGCCTGGGTTGTGGGTTCAATCCTCAGTGTGGAGTGTGCAGGAGGCAGCCAATCAATGATTCTCTCTCATCATTGTTGTTTCTATCTCTCTCTCCCTCTCCCTCTCTGAAATCAATAAATATACATATTTATTTATTATTTTTTTAAATATATTTTATTGATTTTTACAGAGAGGAAGAGAGAGGAATAGAGAGTTAGAAACATCGATGAGAGAGAAACATTGACCAGCTGCCTCCTGCACACCCCCTACTGGGGATGTGGCCACAACCAAGGTACATGCCCTTGACTGGAATCAAACCTGGGACCTTTCAGTCTGCAGGCCGACGCTCTATCCACTGAGCCAAACCGGTTAGGGCTATACATATTTAAAAAGTCACCAATTGGAGGTGAATTTTATCACAGATAATGTCTTTTATCACAGAGAAAGACAGAAAGCTATGAAGATAAAAAGATATATCATGTTCAGACTAACACGAACTAAAAGAAAATTGCATTAGTAAACATAACTTCTGAAAATGGAGAATTTAAAGCAATCCTATATAATAAAAGGCTAATATGCAAATTGTCCCCTTGGGAGTTCGACTGCTCGTTATGACGTGTGCTGACCACTGGGGGGCGGCACAGAATAAAAGAAGGCCCCGGCCGGCAGCCAGGGGAAGGAAGGCCCCCATCGGCCCTGATTGCCGGCCAGGCCTTGGGACTCTTTACCCATGCATGAATTTTGTGCACCGGGCCTCTAGTATTTTATAAAGGACAAAAAAAGAAAATGTTTTATTGTGCTTAAAAGATCATCATCATATATGCTCCAGTAGGCTATAAAGCAAAAATTGATGGAACTGTAGAGACAAATGGATAAATCAAAAATATAGTTGGAGAATTTAGCATACCATTTCCAGAACCAAGGAATAATCAGAGATACTATCTAAACCATGAATAATATGCTTGAGCATTAGCTATCTATGGAAATTTATATCCAACAAACAGAGAATACATTTTTTATAGGCACAGTTTCAAAAGTATAACAGTATTGAATTATAATGTTGTACACCTGAAGATTATATGTTATTAACTAATATTACTCCAATAAATTTACTTTAAATATATATAATTCTGAGCAGTAGAATAAAATTTTTTTAAAAATATATATTTTATTGATTTTTTACAGAGGGGAAGGAAGAGGGATAGAGAGTTAGAAACATCGATGGAAGAGAAACATCGGTCAGCTGCCTCCTGCACACCTCCTACTGGGGATGTGCCCGCAACCAAGGTACATGCCCTTGACTGGAATCGAACCTGGGACCCTCTAGTCTGCAGGCCGATGCTCTATCCACCGAGCCAAACCGGCTAGGGCTAGAATAAAATTTTTAATGCAATATCATTTACACAAATTTTGAATATATGCATAAAAATCACATTTAAAAGAACATATAAACAAAAGGATACACATTAAATACATTAGATTAGTCAATGTATTTGGGGAGGAGATGGGAAAGGAATTAGCAGAAAAAGGATTTATCTTTGGACTCTGTGAAGGACATTGTTGATACCACTTCATTAAGTGCTGAAAATTTTTTAAATTGAGTGTTCAATACAATATGTATGAATGAATGAATGAATGAATGAACAAATGGACGAATGGAATGAGAGACTAAATGAGTGAGTGGTGAGTGAGTGAGATTAAAGTTTGAGCCATAGCAATTATAAAAATAATATAAGATAGGTCTGAGTATGATGAGCACTTCTGTGGAGAGGTAGTGAAATAGAGTATCTCCTGAAAATAAATAATATTGCATCCTACCTATTTCCACCCCACTTTTAGATTGATTTTTTTCCTTATAGATTTAGAGAAGCAGAAGGTAACGGTCTATATAATAATCATTTGAGGAATATTTCCAATACCCATCATATCTAGCTAAGTGCCTTAAATTCCATCTTTGACCTCCTTTTCCTCTAACCCTCTTTTTAAAGTACATTAAAAAATACATTAGCCCTAGCCTGTTTGGCTCAGTGGATAGAGCATCAGCCTGCAAACTGAAATGTCCCAGGTTCGATTCTGGTCAAGGGCACATGCCCGGGTTGTGAGCTCGATCCCCAGTGGGGGGCTTACAGGAGTCAGCTGATCAATGATTCTCTCTCATCATTGATGTTTCTATCTCTCTCTCCCTCTTCCTTCCTCTCTGAAATCAATAAAAATATATTAAAAAAAGAAATACATTAATAAAAGCCCTCACAATAAATATCAAATATGTATAAAATGAGAAAGGGAATATATGAAGTGAGGAGAGGTTTTTTGATAAAATCAGAAGGGTTTGTAGCAAATTTTTCTCTCTTTTCAATATTAAAAAAAGTATAAGTAGTATTAACAGCTTTAAACATTAGATAATATAACAAAATATGATCATTTTCACTGCCAAAGAAATGCCGTATACTTCACAAAATTCTTACTTTATTCCTGCCCGAGTCTAATCTCACTTGAAAAAAGTCATTAACAGCAAGTTTTCCCTCCAGACGTTTCAAGGGTCTTTTTTGTTCCCTACGCTTTTCTTCAGTTTGGGACGATTCTTCGTGGTGATGATGCAGCTGCTCCAGTCGCTTGGTGAGCAACTGAATGTCCTGCTTAAGGCCTTCAGCTCCCTGTAAAGAAAAAAAATAGATTAAACTTCCCGATGGTCCATGATTTCTATTTCATTTCAATACTGTGCAAGTTCTACTGTGCTGATATTGTAGAAACATTTACTAAATAGATGCTGGTTTCAGAAATAGGAAGGTTTGACATTTTAGTTCAAGCATGTCAAACTCAAAGGCTAACACGGACCAAATAAACAAGGTTTATGTGGGCCACAAAAAAACAAAAGCTTCAATTTTCATTGAAATGTAGGCTTATTTCATAGAGACATGCTGAACACAAAGGGCTGAAATAAAAGAGTAATCATTGCCGAAACCGGTTTGGCTCAATGGATAGAGCGTTGGCTTGAGGACTGAAGGGTCCCAGGTTCGATTCCGGTCAAAGGCATGTACCTTGGTTGCAGGCACATCCCTAGTGGGGGATGTGCAGGAGGCAGCTGATCAATGTTTCTCTCTCATCGATGTTTCTAACTCTCTATCCCTCTCCCTTCCTCTCTGTAAAAAATCAATAAAATATATAAAAAAATAAAAGAGTAATTGTTAACATAAAATAATAGAACATTTTAATAAAAATTAACATTTTTTTCTTGAACATTAACTTATCGGACACTGAATAACTGCACAAATTAATAAGCGTAACACAAATAAACCTATATTTCTTGTTCTCTGAAAGCGAAATATTTTCTGTTGCGCACACCAAACAAGTCAGTACAAAACTAATGATGTAGCAATAAGCTGCTAAAATATTCGCAGCTAGTATTAGTGGAGAGAAATGGTGCGCCTGCGCATAAGGCGCGTAAGGGAAAAGAAAGCAACATGATTTTAGTAATCAGTCATTAGCAAACATTGTAGTTTGTTAATAATTATGTGTAACAGGATATTGTAAAAATTAAGTTACAAAATTTTTATTAAAACATTTCTTACATACCGTTATATTGGCTGGGCTGCAAAAATATTCGTTATGGGCCACATGCAGCCTGCAGGCCGAAAGTTTGACATGCTTGTTTTAGTTAATACTGAGTAATAAACTTGTATGATGAATTTAAGAGAACAGTGTAAAGACATTTGGAACTCTACAATAAACAGGCTACTGTGTAGCAGGTTTTACTAACACATTGAATTAAAGCAATACCCATCTTCCTTTAAATTGTAGGGCGAAGAGGCATGGAATTTTACAAAGTGATTTGAACACAACAGGGAAATCTCATTTAAACCTGAAGGTTCAATCTCTTAATAGACCTGACCAATAAATTCAAATAACTGATTTAACTATTTATTTTACTGCACTGACTGAACACTTTGCTCACAATGGAAACGTTATCTGCATCATATCACTATTTTTAAGCTAGCATTTATTGAGCTTACACTTAGCTGTACTAAGCATTTATCATGTATTTACCCATTTAATTGCAACCACTCTGAGATTTGAACTATGCCCCCCTCCCCAATCCTTCCTCACCAGCCTTCACTCCCACCAAATTTTACAAATGAAACTAAGGCAAAGAGTGGATAAGTAACTTGCCTAGTAGCAGAGTTGGCAGTGGCAGAGCTGAGGTTCATACAGGAGCTCAGTGCTCTTAACAAGCACACTATACTACCTCTGCTGTAATAATGGACAGCCTCTGCTCTTTTATTACTCTAACAATAAAATCAAAATGATCATTTAGAGCCACAGAGTTTACTGAATCAGCTAATATCAAAATCCACATCTTTTTTTTTTTTTTAATATATTTTATTGATTTTTTACAGAGAGGAAGGGAGAGGGATAGAGAGTCAGAAACATCGATGACAGAGAAACATCGATCAGCTGCCTCCTGCACACCTCCTACTGGGGATGTGCCCGCAACCAAGGTACATGCCCTTGACCGGAATCGAACCTGGGACCTTTCAGTCCGCAGGCTGACGCTCTATCCACTGAGCCAAACCGGTTAGGGCAAAATCCACATCTTAAAAGAAACAAATCTGAAAGAATAACTTGTCTGCAATATACTTACAGACTTCAAAATTGCTCATTTGCACCAATTCCCTGAATTCTCTCTTTCACTGCTTCCTCTGTGCTGGGATGGGGACAACACTGCTGCTTAGAAAAGAAGCCAATTGACGAAGGAATTTCTGATAGTGGGACCGTGCAGTTTTAGTTCCCCAGCTGAATGAATATGGAGGTAATATTTTTGTTTTTCCTTATGGATCAAATCTTATTGATATCTATCCCAAACTTTCTGTTCATCTTTTGGATCTTCAGAGTAAAAAATGTCTCTCTCAAAGTTCTTGGACAGGATAGCTTTACCTTTTTTCTAAATATGCCAACACACATGTTACATTTCTCATTCGATGATTCTCTCATTATGATGATTCTATCTCCCTCCCCCTTCCACTCTGAAATCAATAGAAAATACATATTTTTTAAAAAGACCAAAAAAATTTTTAATTACTTTAAAATACTTTGAAAGTAGTTCTAATTTTTAAAAATATATAGTTTTATTGACTTCAGAGAGGAAAGGAGAGGGAGAGAGAGATAGAAACATCACTGATGTGAATCATCGATCAGCTGCCTCCTGCACGCCCCCTACTGGGGATTGAGCCTACAACCTGGGCATATACCCTGACTGGGAGTTGAACCATGACCTCCTGGTTCATAGGTCAATGCTCAACCACCAAGCCATGCCAGCCAGGCATTTCTGAAAATTTTTAATGGAATACCTCACATTAATTGGATTATGGGCCTTGTTTTACATTCAGATTATATAATAAACTGTTATAGTCTAAGAATTTAAAAATAAACTTTTACCAGTTCTTTGACAAGTGTCTGTCTCCCATCATTCTCCAACATTCTTCTATAAGATCTTCTACTAATCCTGTTAATTGCCATCTATGAGTGACCAGACTCATTTCTTCCTTCTAAAATGAATTCATGCCATAATTTCTGACTCCAATGTTCAATATAGATAATCCAACCAATTTAGCTTTAAAGTCATTGCTTCTGTTTCAATAACTTTCACCTACACCTTTCTTCAATCCTTAAACCCAGATCTAAAAATCCAGATTTGTCAGCAGCAAGAAGTAAAACACAACAGAAATTTAAAACTTCAATATTTTGCTATCTAATAGACACTTTTTCTCCCAGCTCCCTATCAGCTCTATACCCTCTAAGCTTTTCTTCAACTTCTCCTTGCACTTTCTCTCCATACTTCAGAAAGGCTTCCAGTCAGCCATTCTGTACTGCTTCCTTTTATCCTCGGAAAGAAGATGACCAACAAAGCACTCAACATTGCCAATTACCTCCCAGTGTAACACAAAGTAATAAAAATCCTGTCTCTGCAAAGATCAATCAAGATTTTTCTGGGGCCTGGCTAGTCTAGCTCAGTGGTTGAGCATTGATCTATGAACTGGGAGGTCACAGTTCTATTGCCAGTTAGGGCACATGCTGGGGTTGGGGCTCAATCCCCAGTAGTGTGTGTGCAGGAGGTAGCCGATCAATGATTCTCTTTCATCGTTGATGTTTCTCCCTCTCTCCCTTCCTTCCTCTCTGAAATCAATAAAAAAAAATATATAAAAAAAAGATTTTCTGGGGCTGTTGGTCAAGATGGCGGTGTAGGTAAATGTGATACTGCCTCCTGCAACCACATCAAAATTTACAACTAAAATACAGAACAATGATCATTCAGAACCACCAGTATTACATGAAATGTTAAAGGGTCTTCTTAAAGAAGAAGAAAAAATATAAAAAATATGAACAATAAAATGGCAATAAATACATATCTATCAACAATTGAATCTAAAAAATCAAAATAAATGAACAAGCAGAACAGAAACAGATTTATAGATACAGAGAATACTTCAGTGGTTGCCAGATGGGAGAGGGTATGGAGGGATGGGTAAAAAGGTGAAGGGATTTAGAAGTACAAATTAGTAGTTATAGTGTACTCATGGGGGTGTAAAGTAAGGCATAGGGAATATCCTATCTAATAAAAGAGAAACATGGTAATTGGTGTACGACCGCTACCCTTCCCATTGGCTAATCAGCGAGATATGCAAATTAACTGCCAGCCAAGATGGCGGCCAGCAGCCAGGCAGCTTGAAACTAACATGAGGCTTGCTTGCTTCAGTGACGGAGGACTCCCAACATTCCTCGCCTGCCTTGCCGGCTTCTGAGCTTGCAGTTTAAGAAACATTGTAACAAATATAGAAGCTAAACAAACCCCCAGAAACCTGCTTTCAGCAAGCCGGGATTTCAGAGCTGGAGTTATACATTGTTTCGATTATAGAACCGAAACAAACCAGATACCTTCTTTCAGCAGCAGAGGCCTCAGAGCTGGAGCCAGAGCTAAAGCTGGCCCAGAATAAAAAAGAAAAAAGAAAAAAAGGAGCAGTTGGGAGCAAGAGCAAAAGACAAAGAGAGACTCTTAAGAGCAGCAAGAGAAAGAAACTCAGTTACCTACAAGGGAGTACCCATACGACTGTCAGCTGATTTCTCAACAGAAACTTTGCAGGCCAGAAGGGAATGGCAAGAAATATTCAAAGTGATGAATACCAAGAACCTACAACCAAGATTACTTTATCCAGCAAAGCTATCATTCAGAACTGAAGGTCAGATAAAGAGCTTCACAGATAAGGAAAAGCTAAAGGAGTTCATCACCACCAAACCAGGATTATATGAAATGCTGAAAGGTATCCTTTAAGAAGAGGAAGAAGAAGAAAAAGGTAAAGATACAAATTATGAACAACAAACATGCATCTATCAACAAGTGAGTCTAAGAATCAAGTGAATAAATAATCTGGTGATCATAATAGAATCAGGGACATAGAAAGGGAATGGACTGACTATTCTTGGGGGGGAAAGGGGTGTGGGAGATGCGGGAAGAGACTGGACAAAAATCGTGCACCTATGGAAGAGGACAGTGGGTGGGGAGTAAGGGCGGATGGTGGGGCGGGAACTGGGAGGAGGGGAGTTATGGGGGGAAAAAAGAGGAACAAATGTAATAATCTGAACAATAAAGATTTAATTAAGAAAAAAAAAAAAAAGAAAAAAGAAAAAAAGGAGCAGTTGGGAGCTTCAGTCGGCCTGAAAACAGCCCTCAGCCCCTCACCCAGACTGGCCAGGCACCCCAGTGGGGACCCCCACCCTGAAGGGTGTGTGACCAGCTGCAAACAGCCATCATCCCCTCATCCAGGCTGGCCAGGCACCCCAGTGGGGACCCCCCCCCTGATCCAGGACACCCTTCAGGGCAAACCAGCCAGCCCCACCCATGCCAGGCCTCTATCCTATATAGTAAAAGGGTAATATGCCTCCCAGCACTGGGATCAGTGGAGCGAGAGGCCTTCCGGCACCGGGATCAGCGTGACAGGAGGCAGCGCCCAAACCCCCTGATCGCCCTGCGGCTCTGTATGTGACCAGGGGCGGGGCCACAACCTCCCTATCGGCCCTGCTCTGTTCATGACAGGGGAAGACTCCCCAACCCCCTGATCGCCCTGCGGCTCTGTGTGTGACAGGGTGCGGCGCCTCAACCCCCTGATCGGCCCTGTTCTGTGTGTGACAGGGTGCGGCGCCCCAACCCCTCCCCCCACCATGGGCCCTGCTCTGTGTGTGATGGGGTAGAGCCATAACCTCCCCATCGGCCCTGCCCTGAGTGTGACAGTGGCGGCGCCCTAACTCCCTGATCGGCCCTGCTCTGTGGGTGATAGAGGGCGGCGCCCCAACCCCCTGATCCGCCCTGCCCTGAGTGTGACAGGGGGCGGTGCCCCAACTCCCCTATCGGCCCTACTCTGTGAGTGACAGGGGGGAGCTCCTCAACCCCCTGATCGGCCCTACTCTGTGCATGACAGGGGGGAGCTCCCCAACCCCCTGATTGACCCTGCTCTGTGCATGACAGGGTACGGAGCCCCAACTCCCCTAATGGGCCCTGCTCTGTGCGTGACAGTGGGTGGCGCCACAACCTCCCCATCGACCCTGCCTTGAGTGTGACAGGGGGCGGTGCCCCAACCCCCCAATCGGCCTTACCCTGAGTGTGACTGAGGGTGGCATTGCAACCTCCCAATCTGCCCTGCTCTGTGCATGACAGGGGAAGGCACCCCAACTCCCCAATCGGCCCTGCTCTGAGCCCGACCAGGGGCTGCACCTAGGGATTGGGCCTGCCCTCTGCCACCCAGGAGCAGGCCTAAGCCAGCAGGTCGTTATCTCCCGAGGGGTCCCAGACTGCGAGAGGGCACAGGCCGGGCTGAGGGACCCCCCTTCCCCCCGAGTGCACAAATTTTTGTGCACCGGGCCTCTAGTAGTGAATAATATTCTAATAACTACGTATGGTGTCAGATTTTTCGGGATGATCACTTATTAAGTTTTATAATATCTAATCCCTGAGGTGTACACCTGAAATTAATATAATATTATAGTCAAATGTAACTGAAAAAATAAAAAAATAAAAATTTATTCTCACCTTTATCTTGAAACTACCCAAGGTGTCTTCTTGTCCTTTCACATTCATATAAGGAGTGAATCCATTAGCATCTGCTAACTTTTTCTCCAAAAGGTCTGCTTTTTGCTCTGCCCTTTCTCTTTCAACCAGATGTACTCTGTGTAAGAAAGTAGTAGGTAACAATGTCATGAAACCAGCTCAATAATCAAACTTCAATTAAAAATAATGAAATAAGCCCTGGCTGGTGTGGCTCAGTGCCTAGCGTGTCAGCCTGGGCACCAGAGGATCATGAGTTTGATTCTCAGTCAAGGACATGTACATGGGTTACAGGTTTGATCTCCAGCCCCAGTTGGGCCATGTGCGGGAGACAACAAATCAATGTCTCTCTCTCACATCAATGTTTCTCTCTCTACCCTTCTCCCTTCCACTCTCTCTCCATGTGCCTTTGACTGGAATCAAACCAAGACCCTTCATTTCGCAGGCCGACACTCTATCCACTGAGCCAAACCAGCTAGGGCTAAGCCTATATGGAAAAAATATCCTCACTACTTGGATAAGGGTTAAAATAATATTAATAATAATGAAAACAAATATTCCCCATTAAAAATATAGTAAATATGTGTATCAAGTAAAAATGTGACTATTTCTAAGGAGAGACTAGAAATGGTAGAGAAATGGAGAGAAATACAATCCAGTGTTAAGTCCTGTAGTAGTTACCCTGGGGGAGGTCAATTTTGAAACCATCCTTTTCAAGGGGAAATTTGAGTATGAATATTTGCCTGCCACTACTGGTAATAGTGTGATGATCAGGAGGTTCCACATGAATACAAGTACTCCTATTTTAATAACACCTGAATGGGCTCTTCTACTGGGATTTGATGAGGGAAAAGGAACTAGAAATAATGATACAGCAATAGAGAACAGCATATCTAAAAACGTTATTTATTATCAAATATTTAAACAGCTAATTATTTGGTTCTTATTTGATTACTAATTGCAAGGTATTGGTAATACTTTCTACCCTGTAGCTAGGTTAAAGTTTCAATTCATCTTCCATGATTTTTATGTCCTTTTCTAAGAATTGCATCCTACAGAATTAATGAATTTGAGTTAGGTCAACAGAAATTATCTGAATAATCTAAAGAAAAAATTTAAATTCAAAAATTATGTTAGAGACAGGTAGGACATACTCAATAGGTATAACATACCTGTAGGTCTAACATATTGTAGCCATAGGATGAGAATAGAGACAGAATGGGACAGAAACAATATTTGAAAAAATAATTTCCAAGAATTTTCCAAACCTGATGAAAGACATCAATTTATAGATTCAATAAATTCTGCAAATCCTAAGCCTTGCCAAGACATATCGTCAAATTGTTATCAATTAAAAGCAGTCAGAGAAAAAGCACACGTTACCTCAAAGGTACAACAATAAGACTGATGACTGAGTTTTCAACAGAAGCTATAGACGCCAGAAGATAACTGAATGACATCTTAGAGGGCTGAAAGTAAAAATACTGAAATCCAAGAATTCTACTAGTATACACAATAAAAAAAAATACCCTTAGAAAAAATGAGATGAAATAAACATAGTTTCAGAAGGGGAAAAAATGGAAAAATTGTCAGAAGAACTGCATTATAAGAAACCTACAGACAATTTCTCAGGATGAACAAAAATTATCCTTAGTGTGCACAGAACTGTAGGAAGGAATGAAATGCATCAGAAAGAGAAAATAGGAATTTATACTGGCAGTTAATTAAAATGATAATATCTTATGGGATTCATAACACTTGAAATGTTAAAATATATCATAACAATAGTACAAGAGCATGAGATAGCTCAATGAAGTTGAATTGTCATAGGCTTTTATTTTGGAATATCATAAAAGTACAGATCTAAAGTAAACTAATAAATATGTATTTTGTAATCATGAGAGCTAGGTAAAAACTAAATGATAAAAGATATTACAGGAATGGAATTAAAAAAAGCGGATTAATCCAAAGAAAATGGTGAAGGAGTAATAAAAGAACAGAGAACAGATGGGAAAAACAAACAATACTAATATGGTAGAGTTAAATCTAACAATTAAGACAGAATCACACCCTGGCTGCTGTTGCTCACTGGTAAGAGCATTGGCCAGCACACTGAAGGGTCCCAGGTTCAATTCTGGTCAAGGGCATATATCTGGATTGCAGGTTAGATCCCAAATGGGCCCCAGGCGGGAGACAACTAATTGATATGTCTCTCTCACATCAATGTTTCTCTCTCTCTCTCTCTCTCTCTCTCTCTCTCTCTCTCTCTCTCTCTCTCCCCCCCCGCCCCCCCCTCTCTCTCTCCCGATTTCTCTTTCTTTGTCTCTCTTTCCCCACTACCCCTCCATTCTCTCAATGGGAAAAAATGTCCTCAGGTGAAGGTTAACAACAATAAAAATAAGACAAGATAATCAGATTGGATTAAAAATAAAACATCTAATGCTAAGTTAGCATTTTGCAAGATATATACTTTAAATATAAGGACACAGAAACATGAAAATGAAAAAATGGAAAAAGACCTACCATGAGAATAGTATGATGGTGTAGCTAAATTAATACCAAAGTAGACTTTAAAGCAAGAACGATTGAGTTGTACACTTTAAGTCTGTATGGTTTTTGTGTGTGTTTATTTTTTTAAATATATTTGTATTGATTTCGGAGAGGAAGGGAGAGGTAGAAAGAGATAGAAACATCAATGATGAGAATCATTGATCAGCTGCCTCCTGCATGGGGATTGAGCCCTCAACTGGGACATGTGCCTTTGACTGGAATTAAACCAGGACCCTTCATTTCACAGGCTGACACTCTATCCACTGAGCCAAACCAGCTAGGGCTAAGCCTGTATGGTTTTATTGACCAGTGTTGTCACCCCAATAAATTCAATTTTTTAAAAAAATCTTCAAATGGAAATGTTAAGAAGTGAAAAAACAACAACTGTTTAGCCATTTGTCTGTTTTTTAAAATGATATTGGATTTGTAAAACTATGTCAATAATATTTTATTATTAGATCCCTAACTCACACCACATACAAAACTTAGTCAAGATGAAACAAAGACATAAATTTAAGTGCTAAAACTATAACTCTTAAAAGAAAACATACTTGTAAATCTTCACAACCTTGGATTAGGCAGTGATTTATTTCTTAGGTATGATGACATCAAAGACACAAGTGACAATAAAAGATAAACTTCATCAAAATTAAGAAATTTTGAGCTTCAAAAGACACCATTAAGAAAATAAAAAGACAATCCACGGGTGGGACAAAAATATATGCAAATCATATATCTGATAAGGGTCTGGTATCCAAAATATACAAAGAACACTTACAACTAAATGATAAAAAGACAACCCCATTTAAAAATAGGCAAAGCATCTGAATAGTATTTCTACAAAGAAGATATACAGATGGCCAGTAAGCACATGAAAAGATGTTCAAAATCTTTAGTTATTTATATATATATGCAAATTAAACTTATAATGAGATATGACTTCATATCTACCAGAATGGCTATAATGAAAAAGATGAACAATAATATGCTGGTGAGAATGTGGAAAAATTGGAATCTTCATATATTGCAGGTAGTAATTTAAAATTGTGTGACTGCCTTGGAAAAAAGCCTGGAAGTTCCTTTAAAAGTAATTTTAAGCCGGAACCGGTTTGGCTCAGTGGATAGAGCGTTGGCCTGCGGACTGAAGGGTCCCGGGTTCGATTCCGGTCAAGGGCATGTACCTTGGTTTCGGGCACATCCCCAGTGGGGGGCGTGCAGGAGGCAGCTGATCGATGTTTCTCTCTCATCGATGTTTCTGGCTCTCTATCCCTCTCCCTTCCTCTCTGTAAAAAATCAATAAAATATATTTTTTTAAAAAAAGTAATTTTAAAAAGTTAACCACAGAGTTACTTTATGAACCAGCAACTCTTCTCCTCAGGCATACATCTAAGAGAAATGAAACATATAGTCATATAAAAACCTATACAAAAATGTTCATAGCAGCGTTATCCATAAAGCCCCCCTCTCTAAAGGAAACCCAATGTCCATCAATTGATTAATGGATACACAAAATGTAGTATACCTATATAACAGAATATTATTCATCAATAAAAAGAACGAATTACCAATTTATGCTGTAACATGAATGAATCTTGAAAACATTGTGCTAAGTAAAAGAAGTCAGACACAGAGACTATATATTGTATAACTGAACTCATATGAAATGTTCAGAAAAGGCAAGTCCATAGGGGAAAAAAGTGAATTGGTGGTTGTCAGAGATTGGAGAGGGTGTAATAGAGAGTAACTGGAATGGACATGAATGGGGTTTCTTTAGGGGGCAATAAAAATGTCTTGGAATTAGATAGTGGTGATGGTTGCACAACCTGTGAATTTACTAAAAATTACTGAACTGTACACTTTAAAAGGGTGAATTTTAATGGTATATGACTACGTCAATAAAATTTTTTATATAAATTAATTTTGAGTTAAGCATTATGTGAAATTCTTCTAATTTAAATTCTGTGATCAATCAGAAATACAGACTTCATATACTATTTGCAAGCTTATGACAAACAACGTGTGAAAACAAACTAGAAAATTCCTGACCCTCGGAGCCTAGTGCCTCTGCCAAGTCTTCCGGGGCAAGCGTGAATGCCCTGTAGTACATTGTGGAGACGATCAACAGTGCTGCATGCAGAAAACATGCAAGCATGCCCTACCAGTCAGTTGCCCAGTGGGAAGCAACATCTTCGGGGAGGCCAGATCCTGTGCTTTACTCTGAAGATTGTAGCAAAGAAGTTTGATGAGGACCACCTTCAGGCCCAAAGTGCTGAATGACTGCCTCCTAGTCTCAAGAAAAGATTTTCTTCTGACCAAAAATATTTTAGATATTTCAGACCTTTCCTGTGGCCTGGTCCTATATCCAAAATTCTACAGAAATTATAGAGTTTCTATCAACTAAGGAAACTGGGTAAAGGAGTAAGTAATCTTTTAAATAATAATGGCCTGGTTTGTGTTAAGTAGTTTGAACTTAAGAGAAATAAAAATCTTACCACCAAAAATACCAAAATGCAGTTCCTTCATAAGCAAATTACTATTGTTTCTATACCTGAAATATTGTATGTGTTTTATTTACTGGATATTTACATTTTGGGAAGGAAAACATTTTTTTAATATAAAAATTTATATTTGTAATTTGTTGTTCCTAAGATTTTTTACATGATAACACAATTTGTTCTTTTCTCACGAATTTGCAATCCTATATAATAAAAGGCCAATATGCAAATCGACCAAACTGCAGAATGACCAGTCGCTATGATGCGCACTGACCACCAGGGGGCAGAAGCTGCACTCTCACAGGGGGTGCGCCACTCAGCCAGAAGCCCTGAGCCAGGCTCACAGCTGGCGAGCACAGCGGCAGTGGTGAGAGCCTCTCCTGCCTCCGTGTCAGTCAGACATCCCCCAAGGGCTGCCAGACTGCGAGAGGGTGCAGGCCAGGCTGAGGGACCCCCACCCCCACCCCCATGCACAAATTTCGTGCACCGGGCCTCTAGTTTCTAAATAAAGATAAGCCAGTAAAATTGGGAGAAGAATAGGCTTTATTAATCAAATGATGTCTTTCTTTTTCTAAATGAGATTGTTTTATTTTTAACATTAGATATGGGAACTGTTTCTTAGTAAACTTGTTTGAAAAAATTAATGTGTTATAAAGCAGATTTTATCTTTGTCTTACTAAGTTCCTCTACTCTATAGTTCTGATTGTACTTTTAAAATGCTTTATTTTAGCCTAGCCAGTTTGACTCAGTAGATAGAGCATCTGTCTGGGGACTGAATGGTCCTGGGTTCAATTCCGGTCAAGGGCACATGCCTGGGTTGTGGGCTCAGTCCCTGGTAGGGGGCAGGGCATGCAGGAGGCAGCAGATGAATGATTCTCTCTCAACATTGATGTTTCTATCTCTCTCTCCTTCTTCCTTCCTCTCTGAAATCAATAAAAATATTTTAAATGCATTTTAAATATTTTAGGTTTTTAAAAAGATCTTTATGACTTACAGACATTGCAAATGATTAAAAACAAAGTAACGTTGTGGGGGGAGATAATTCCCTACCTTAGACGGTTTTCTAGCTCTATAATTCTTTCATTTAGATCCAAGTTGCCTCTTTCAGGAGTCTGATTATTGATGCTTTTCAAAGATTTAACTCTAGTTAGAGAAGCAATAAGAACCTTTAAGTCCTTGATATCATTTTTCAGGGAAATTATCTGGAAAGACTGTTTCGCGTTATCTTCTTTATAACTTTCTAGCTCATTCTTCATATCTTGCAATGAACTTTCTTTTATGAAAAGTTTATTTTGAAGATTTCTTAGCTAATGAGAAAGGAAACGTATTACTTAAAATCATTTATAATTTTGGTTTTAGAAAATTCATGATTTTCAATCAATATGGGTATTTAAATTACATGCTATAATACAATAAAACAAAAGCTTTCAAATCTAACAGTATATTCCAACATTAATACACTTTTAAATTAGATCAAATTGATACATTTGAATAAGTGAATTTATTCTCATCAACATTAAAGTTATTTAAGTCTTCTTGATTATTTTTAAGACAAAAAAAGGAAAGAAGAGCTCATAAAGGTATTAAGAAAAGCAAGAGGGATGTCTTGTGAGAGGGGAAGCGAAACAAGAGAGCCACCACAGGCTGCTATTGGAAGGAAAGGATCAAAAAGGATTGAAGAGTGAGGTAAGTGATTTCATTATCTTTGGGTAACATTTTTAAAATCTCTGCTCTTCTATCTGGTAAGTGAAGAAAGTGCACTAGATGAAAAAAAAAATTGAGGTATTTTTAGAACTCTTCACATGTCAGATCTCAACAAATGTTCAGTTGTAACTCTCTTCCTATCCAATATATCCCAACTTCTGGTAATCACAATAATTGTTAAAATCCTGCAGCATTACCTTCATTATTTTAACCAGTTAAGTCAGGGGTTCTCTGCACTGCAGTGGTTATCATTCACCTAAGATACCATAAAAATAATGAATGCCCCCTGGAATTGTGCAATGCAGTGGTCCCATTTCCCAGCACTATGATATAAGAACTGTGTTTTAAGATCTCATTTTCAGTTATGCTATTGTTAGGATACTGTTAAGATATGTTTCGTGAAAAGTAACTAAGGCAGCATGAGTCTCAGACTCACACGATATTGATTTCTAGAGTAATTGCCAGTTCTTAGTTGTTTTTGTTTACTTCTTCCATAGGAACAGTGATTTGCAAAATCTAAGATTTTAAAACACTACTGCGTTATTTTTTATGTCAAAAACCCCACAAAATTTGAATTGTTTGACTGGATTTGGACATAATGAATTGAAATATGTTCAGGACTTAGCTAAATGTATGCATCCCCAAAATTGAGATATAGCCAGTTGATAAAAAATTATCAACAAAGGACTCAGATCTATAGTAAAGAATTCAAATTTCTCAGAAAACAATCCAATTAGAAAATGGGCAAAGACTTGAAAAGAAACTTTATCAGAAAGAATATATAGATGGAAAATAAATACATAAAAATATATACATCATCAGTCATTAAGGATATGCAAATTAAAGCTACAAAGAGATATCACTACACGTGTATGGGAATATCTAAGCTACAAAATAGTGACACCACCAAATTTTGGTCTGATGGGAATGTAAAATGGTATCACACTCTGGAAAATACTTTGGCAGTTTCTTATAAAACTAAACATGCAATTATCTTCTGACCCAGCTATTACACTTTTAGGGATTTATTTCAGAGAAATAAAAAGTTATGTTCACACAAAAAACCTATATATGAAGGTCCATAGAAACTTTATCTGTAATAGTAAAAAAAAAAAAAAACTTGAAGTAACCCAGATATTTGTCAACAAGTGAATGGTAAAACAAACTGGTACATACATACCAGGGACTCAGCAATAAAAAGGACCAAACTATTGATACATGCAACAACTTGAATAAATCTCCAGGAAATTATGCTGAGTGAAAAAGCCAACCCCAAAATATATGACTCTATTTACATAACATTTTAACAACAGCTTCATTGAGATATAATTTATAAATTCAGCCATTTAAACCATATAGTTGCAAGGTTTTTAGTATATTCATAATTGTGCAGCCATATTGAATTGTTTTTCACTTTTAAAAAATTGAGATGATTCACATACCATAAAAATTTACCCTTTAAAGCATAACACTCAGTAGTTTTTAATATATTCACAGGTTGTGCAACCATTGCCAAGATCTAATTCCAGAACATTTTCATTGGCCTCTAAAGCAGTGGTTCTCAACCTTCTGGCCCTTTAAATACAGTTCCTCATGTTGTGACCCAAACATAAAATTATTTTTGTTGCTACTTCATAACTGTAATGTTGCTACTGTTATGAGTCATAATATAAATATCTGATATGCAGGATGGTCTTAGGTGACCCCTGTGAAAGGGTCGTTCGACTGCCAAAGGGGTCGCGACCCACATGTTGAGTTTAAAGAAACCCTATACCCATTAGTAGTTACTCCTTATTATTCTTTTCCCTCTCAGCCCCTGGCAACCACTCATCTTCTCTCTCTCTCTCTCTCTGAATTTGCTTATTTTAGATATTTCATATGAATGAAATATAATATGTTGCTTCTTGTAATTGGTTTTTACTTAGTATAATATTTTCTATGTTCATCCATGTTACAGCATGAATCAGTACTTCACTCTTTTTTGTTTGAATAAAATGCTATTGTATGGATATACCACATTTGTTTAGCCACTCATTAGTTGATGGACATTTGAATTATATCCACTATGAATAATGCTACTATGAATATTCATTTACAAGTTCTTGTGTGAATATATATTTCAATTCTCTTATGTATCTACCTAGGAGTGAGATTGCTGGCTCACATGGTAACACTATGTTTAGCTTTTAGAATGTACAACATCTGAAATGATAACATCTTAGGAATGGAGGAGAGATTAGTGGTTGCCAGGGGTTGAGGGTGGGGGAAGGAAATGGGTGTGGATAGAAAATGGCAATCGGAAGGATATTAGTGGTATTGTGCAGGAGACAGCCAATCAAATCGATGTTCTTCTCTCACATAGGTGTTTCTCTCTCTCTCCCTCCCTTTCCTCTCTCTCTAAAAATCAATAAAAATATCAAAAAACAAAACAAAATACAAATGCTTAATATATATAACTTATTAGTGTGGCAGTTTGTAAGCAATTTTCTAATATCCTAGCACTTGGCAGTCAACTTAAAAGCACTTAATTATGTACCATCTTCAAAGGGATTTCTCTGGCAAAAGACAAATTAATATCTAAATTAAAGCTCCTCAGTGATGAGAATATTGAGAAAAAAGCAAAACTAAATTGAGATAATACTCTGAGCCCTTGATCAGAATGTGTTTTGCCCCCTACTTTTACAGAGGATGTACTTTCCCATAGTGTTTTATTTTCAGATAATCCATATACCTCAGCTAAAAGATTCTTGTTTTTCACCAACAAACCAGCAACGTCAGGATGGTCTGGGTCAGCAGTCGTTTTGTTGTACATGATTGGGTTCCTGGTGGAAACCTCTTCAAGAGGTGGGTCAAAACAAGCCTACAAAGAAAAACTGCAAATTAACTAAACATGTACTCTGTAGATCAACCCACAATGTTCTAGCCTACACAAAATCAAATAAGTAGCTCTAAATAGAATACAACTGTAAAACATTCACTTTAAGGTGCGACCCTAACAATGACAATAGGTCTCAGAAAAAAAAAAAAAGCAAGTAACATGATCTATACTTTTATTTTGATTATTATCTCATTCACTATGTAAAAATCTTATCTCTCCTACTACATTAAAGGTACCTAAGACCAGGATATATTTCTGATGTATCGCTATCATCCTATACTAGGTGCCAAAACTACAGATTGAATAAAGAACCCAACAGGAAAGAAACTCTACATACAAAGTTAACTTATATAGATGATAGAACTTTTCTCCCAAACTAATCTTATATTTTATTGATTTTTTACAGAGAGGAAGGGAGAGAGATAGAGAGTTAGAAACATCGATGAGAGAGAAACATCGATCAGCCGTCTCCCGCACATCTCCTCCTGGGGATGTGCCCGCAACCCAGGTACATGCCCCCGACCGGAATCGAACCTGGGACCCTTCAGTCCGCAGGCCGACGCTCTATCCACTGAGCCAAACCGGTTTCGGCTCCCAAACTAATCTTATAAAAATATTAAAAAATGTATAAGGAGACTAAAGCAAAAATAAACAAAATAAAGAAATATGGCATAATTATTCTATGATTTTAGGTTTGTACATGACTATTCTATTTTTATGCACTCATAAGATTTGTCAATACTTCAAATTAGATAGTCTGCTATGCTTCATATAGTAGAAAGTAAAAACCATAAATTTTGACCATATCAGGCACAGAGAAAATTCCAACTTCAAGGTCGGTTCCCAGAAGAAATCTGAATTGCCCAATATGAGTGGCTTCCCTGCACAATCTATCAGTAGAATGTTTCCACATCAAAGAAGCTGTTGCTAGGGGAATGCATCACAGAGGTCTAGGGAAGGGAGAGGAGGATCTCTAAAAGTGGTACTACTAGTAAGACCTGTGGGTCTGTATTTCCCTAGTCAATGAAGTGAAAACACAAAGTGGTTTCATCAAGCATTAGTGAACTTCAGAACTCTTAAGAAAGTGACCCCCCTGGAAAGTAACCATTCTGGCAAATGTGAAACTCACATTTTGGGTCTTTCTTTTGAGAAATTCTTGGAATAAGTCAAATTTTATATTCCAATACCTACACCTCATCAAGGGAGAAGTACTTTGAGAGGAGGAGAAAAATGATTCCATCTACTATTCCTAAAGTAAAGATGACTTGTCTGAAATGCTGATATCTTATTCCAGGGATGTACTTTTATGCCAGCGAAAGTACAAACCTATTATATATTCTTGATATGAGAATCACTAGGATTATATTTCAAATATCATCTAATATAAGAGTTGTCAACTTTGCCCGTACATCAGAATTTCAAAGAAAACTCAATATATATTGATACCCTGACCCTATCACATGTTCTGACTTAATTGGTCTACAGTGGAGCCTAAAGCATAAATATTTTTAAAAGCTACACATGCGATTCTAATGTGACTTTAGGGTTGAGAAAGACTGTTCCATTATCTTCATTTATATATGATAATAATGAAGCAGGGAGAAATTGATTTTCAAAGGAATGAAAGTAATGTTTACTAACTAAACCAGGAAAATGAGGAATATTTTTTCCTCTCAAACCAGCTTTTAAAATTGCATCCACAAGCAGCAGAAATCTATAATATGGCTCAGTGGATGGGCATCCACCTATGAACCAGGTCACAGATTCCTGGTCAGGGCACAGGCCAGAGTTGGGAGGTTCCATCCTCACTAGGGGGCGTGCAGGAGGCAGCAGATGGATGATTCTCTCTCATCGTTGATGTTTCTCTCTCTCTCTCCCTGTCCTTTCCTCTCTGAAGTCACCAACAAAAATTTTTTTTAACAGAGTAAAATTTAAATATTACCACCATGCACACAAAAAGATAATTACGTGAGGGGATGGAACTATTAACTACCTAATTGTGATAAGAATTTTGTAATAAATACATGAATTAAAACCATCACGGTGTACACCTTAAACTTACATACATGTCCATAATTCCTCAAAAAAGCTGGGGGCGGGAGGAGGGAGGGACTTAGGAGACCTGAACAATTTATCTCTGAGCTGTATCGGATGACTGCAACCTAACTCATAGAACCAGTCCTCACAAACACCCAGCTGCCTGGCGTCCTCCAGTTCTGCTCCCCAATCTCCCGTATCCTCCGGAGAGGACGCCCACGGGGAGGCCCAGCAGCCCTTGTTGGTCACTGGGTGGCTAGTTTACCTTAGGCCTCCAACCCTTCTCCAACCCCGACTGTGCGGGCGTCTGACAAGGTCGAGCCTTGATGGCAAAGCGGACGACCCGCCCTCTGCACTGGCCAACCCCGCGGCTACCCCGGACACGGAGGTGACCCGCACACGGAGGATCCCCGCACACGGAGGTGACCCGCACGTGGAGGTGACCCGCACAAGGAGGTGACCCCGGACACGGACGTAACCCCGGACACGGAGGTGACCCCGCACACGGAGGATCCCCGCACACGGAGGTGACCCGCACACGGAGGATCCCCGCACACGGAGGTGACCCCGGACGCGGAGGTGACCCCGCACACGGGGGGTTACCCCGCACACAGAAGCGCAGGCGCCGCCGCTCGGCCGGCCTGAACCGGCGGGCGGGGCTTCACGGTGGCCGAGCCTCGGTCCCCTGCGATCTTCAAGTTACGGGCGCCGCCCAGACCCCACGACTCAGCCTCGGGTTGGGGCCCGTTTGACAGCGTGGTTGGGCGGGAACGCCACTTCAGAACGCGCGCGCGAGCGTCCCGCCCGAACGCTTTTGGGGGAAGCCCGCGCCCTCAGCCCCCGGGGACTTGCTTCCCACCCCACCCCCGCGTCCAGGAGGGTCGGGGAGACCGTCCGGCTCCCGCGCCCGCGAAACAGATCTCCCGCGAGACCGCCCCTCCGCCTCCGCACCCGATAGGCTGGAATAGAGACCCCGCCCCCTCCTCAGTGGTTCCCCGCCCCACACGAAGGCGCTTCCACCAGCCACTCATTTCTTCCCTCCAGGCATCACGGAGTTCAAATTCCCGCCGTATTCCAGACCCTCCACCCCCTCGCTGCTCCCAGAAGAAGGGAAATGCGTTCTCTCGGACTGCGCACGCGCAGGCAGGGGCGGGCGGGGCGGGCGGGGCGGGGGCGCAGGCGCAGAAGCAAGCTCCTCCTCGGCGGTCGCTAACCTCGTGGGCCGGCTGTCCGCGGCAGCGAGGGGAGTCCAACCTTGATTTCGGCGGCATCCATCGTGGGCAGCGGACTAGGAAAGGTCATGGCGCCGGCGGAAATCTTGAACGGGAAAGTGGTCTCCACGTAAGCACCTGTCGTTGTCAGGGCGCGTTGGGCTGCAGGCAAGGGTTCTGAGCAGGGTGTGCAGGTCAGCAGCAATGGTGCCCGCTGGAGACGGTGCTTCTGGGACAAGCCCTCTTACCTGGCCCGCTCTGCTCCCAAAAGTGCGGCTGCTGACATTAATTTCAGAGAGGAAGGGACAGGGAGAGACAGAGACAGAGACAGAGAAACATCATTAATGAGAGAGAATCATTGATCGGCTGCCTCCTGCACACGGGGGATCGAGCCCACCACCCCGGCATGTGCCCCGAGCGGGAATCTAACCTTGACCTCCTGGTTCATAGGTCCATGCTCAACCAACTGAGCCATGCCTGCCGGCCAGGGGCTTAATTTTCCATTCAATTTAATGGTCCTCCAACAACCATCTCCGTGTCCTGGTCCTAGAGTTACATTCTAGTTTGGCCCTTGAATTTTGACAGTATTCCATATTCCATTTGACTTCTTCCTGTGTTACCCCCACTGGAATACCCAGCGGATATGATTGCCAGACTTGCTCCCAGGAAGTGATACCCCTCTGCTTTTTGTGTAGGAGGTGACTAGTGGGGAAAGATGAGGCTGGAAGAGAGAAAGACGTACAGGGTGGTGCAAAAATAGGTTTACAGTAATAATCAAGAATAAACGGTTTCACATAGTCACAACGGTAACCCTACTTTTGCCACGCCCTCTTGCAGGTTGCTCTTGGGACCTTGAACCTCACCAGTTATTTTGTAACTGCCGTAGTTGGCAACAATAACTCCTATGAACTCCTAATTTTGTGAGTAGAGACTTTTTAGTGAATTATAGAGTCGTTGGTGGCGAAACCCACCTTGGAGCAAAGTGATTGTTTCCTGGAGAAAGAAAGTGAAGTGTGAATTAGACTGTGGTGACTGACTCACACTGGTGAGGAGAAGCCCCAGGCTTTTAGACTAGAAATCACAATGCTTATATCAGGTTGCTTTTTTTTAATATAAACTTTTTTTCTTTAAATATATATACATATATATATTTTTTATTGATTTCAGAGAGGAAGGGAGAGGGAGAGAGAGAGAGAAACATCAGTGGTGAGAGAGAATCATTGATCGGCTGCCTCCTGCATGCCCCCTACTGGGGATCCAGCCCACAACCTGGGCATGTGCCCTTGACCAGAATTGAGCCTGGGACCCTGCAGTCTGCTGGCCGACGGACGCTCTATTCACTGAGCCAAACCAGTTAGGGCCAGATTGCTTTTCAACATGTGGTTTGTTGAATTGCATTGTTTCTGTTTGACCTTCATTTTTTGTTTATTTATATTCAAACCTACTCCCTTTAGCAGTGGCTTTTTCGTGATGAAAGCTTCCTTTTAGAAAGTCTGGTTTGTGGAGATAATTTAGGTTTGCTTCTTGGCAGGCTGAGAATAGGTGCTCACTGAATATGTTTTGAGTGAAGAGCAAGTTAAATATATAAGCTCCATAAGGGCAAACACATGCATTGTTTTGTTTATGTCTATATAAACACTTATAAACCTTCATTTAGAACATATTAGTTTTGTGGCTTTAAGCAAATTAGCTTACCTCACCGTGCCAAAATTTCCTCAAATGTAAAATAAACATAATATCGAGAACATTGAGTTGTTTGGAGAATTAAAAGAGTTATTAACTGAAGACCATTTAGAATTGCTCCTGGCACAAAGTAAGTGTCCAATACACATGAGCTGTATTAATAATTAGTAATTACAGTTGACCCTTGAACAAGGGCTTGAACTGTGCAGGTCCACTTACATACAGATTTTTTTTCAATAAAGATATAGTCAGCTCTCTGTATTCCCTGCGTTTCACATCCCTGGATTCAACCAACCACAGACTGAAAACAGTATTTTCTTTTTTTTTTAAATATGTATTTTTTTAAATATATGTTTTATTTTATTTTATTTTTTAAATATATTTTATTGATTTTTTACAGAGAAGAAGGGAGAGGGATAGAGAGTTAGAAACATCGATGAGAGAGAAACATCGATTAGCTGCCTCCTGCACGCCCCCCACTGGGGATGTGCCTGCAACCAAGGTACATGCCCTTGACCGGAATCGAACCCGGGACCCTTGAGTCCGCAGGCTGACGCTCTATCCACTGAGCCAAACCGGTTCGGCTAAATATATGTTTTATTGATTATTTTACAGAGAGGAAGGGAGAAGGATAGAGAGTTTTAAACATAGATGAGAGAGAAACATTGATTAGTTGCCTCCTGCACACCCCCTTCTGGGGATGTGCCCACAACCAAGGTGCATGCCCTTGACCGGAATCGTACCTGGAACCCTTCAGTCCGCAGGCTGACACTCTATCCACTGAGCCAAACCGGTTAAGGCTGAAAACAGTATTTTTAATCTGCAGTTGGAAATTGGCAGATGTGGAGGGCCAACTGTATACATTCTTCTAGGCCAGCGGTTCTCAACCTGTGGGTCGCAACCCCCTTTGGCGGTCGAACGACCCTTTCACGGGGGTCGCCTAAGACCATCCTGCATATCAGATATTTACATTACGATTCATAACAGTAGCAACATTACAGTTATGAAGTAGCCACGAAAATAATTTTATGGTTGGGTCACAACATGAGGAACTGTATTTAAAGGGCCAGGAGGTTGAGAACCACTGTTCTAGGCTATTTTATATAAGGGCCTTGAGCATCCTCAGATTTTGAAAGCCTCATGGGGAGGAAGGCGTGCTAGAACCAATTCCCCTCAGATACTGAGAGACTACTGTCAGTATTAAGTTTTGGGGAAATCAAGAATTATACTCAGATTTTCGACAGTGTGGGGCAGTGCTCCAAATCCCTGTGTTGTTTGAGGACAACTGGAGTTCAAGTATACATGGGTGATTGATTCATTATCTTTTAGACAACTGCCTTAAGGTCTATTTCAGTGGCTCTCAACATTAGCTGCACATTAAAACCTCAGGGAGCTATTTTTTTTGTTAATTATTTTTATTTAAATGTGAATATATATTAAAAAGTGCACCTATCGTAAGTGTGCAGCTCGATGAATTTTTCACAACTGAATTTACCTGAGTAACTAGCACCCCGATGAGAAGTACCATTGGCATTCCTCTCACTCTCATCCAGTCGCCACCCCACAAAGGTAATCACCGTCCTGCCTTCTAACACTGCCTTCTAGTGCCACCTGTTTTTGAACTTGATATAAATGATATCTTACAGGATAAAGTCTTCAGTGTCTGGCTTCTTCTGATCAACATTGTGTTTCTGAGATGATTCCACATTGCATGTAGTTGTAGTTCACTTACTCTCTGTATTGTATTCTATATGAATATGCCACTATTTTACTTATCCATGGACATTTGGGTTCCTAGTTTTGGGTGGTTATGAATGAATAGTGCTGCTATGAGCAATCTTTTCTGTCTTTTGGTGGAACATATAATATACACATTTCTGTAGGTTAACATATCTAAGAGTAGAATGGTGGAATAATAGGACATGTGTGATCAACTTTAGTAGAAATTGCCAATCTTTTTCAGTGTGGTTTTACTAACTTAGGCTTATAAGGATCTTTTGAAAAAAGTATCAGTGCTTGGTACTCACACCGGACTGATTTAATTGGAATTGCTATCCATAAGCTACTGGACTCAGTATTTTAACAATCTTTTAAAAGCTCATTCTGTGATTCTAATGCACCTTGAAGGTTGAGAACCACTTAAAGCCTTAACACGTTAAGCGCCATGTCAGTCACCAGTGACTGAAACAGAAAGGAAGACAAACAGGCTTGGCGCTTAACGTGTCAAGTCCAGTGCTCATCACTGAAGAACAGTATGGCAGGAATGTGGCCGTAGGCATTGAAAGCATTTTTCTGGAGAAGACTGGTTTGGGTATTGAAAGGCTCTCTCCCAGCATGCTCAGGGTTAACATAGCTAACCTGTCCAGTGCCCCATGGTTGAGCAATCAGTTAGTTCCTGCTAACGCCGTTCATAAAGGAGCATTAAGACTAAGGCCTCTTTGTGCTTGCAGATTTCTCTCTAATGTACTTACAAAATGGCTCTTTCAGACACTGCCACACGTTGGCACCTCGACTTTCATGGAGAGTTTGACTCTAGGAACTGGCAGTGCTCAGAGTTCCTCAGAGAGGGGGAGCTCTGCAAGGAGGGGCAGCCTGCCCGGCTCACGGGGTCGTGCAGTCCCAGCTCCTTGTGCTGCATCTGACCTTTGGGGAAGCCTGAGCTAGAATGTGGTTCTGACCGCTTGACTAGGTTGGGCTACAGAGGCTCCGGGCAGGGTGTCCCACCTTCGCTCTTTTGCTGGGCCAAGGATATTCTTGAGGAAAGGTGAGCAAACTCCTTACGTTGCAGCCAGGGATCCTGGAGTCTGGGGAAAGGGTCCCTCATTCCCAAGTTTGCAGGTCAGCTTCCTCGGTTGCCATCAATTTTGGGGTCTCTGGGGGCGAATTTGCAAGCCCTGGGCAGTTTATTCCCTGATGTAGTGTTTGAATTGTAAACTCTCTTTCTTGGAGGGAGGAAAAGTAGGGCAGGTCATGAGTTTCACAGTCAGAATTTCTCCAAAATCCAGTCTACTCCCAGATGCAAATCAAAACAACAATGAGGTACCATCTCACACCTGTCAGACTGGCTATCATCAACAAATCAACAAACGACAAGTGCTGGAGAGGATGTGGAGAAAAAGGAACACTTGTGCACTGCTGGTGGGAATGCAGACTGGTGCAGCCACTATGGAAGACAGTATGGAGTTTCCTTAAAAAACTGAAAATGGAACTCCCATTTGACCCTGTGATCCCACTTCTAGGAATATATCCCAAGAAACCAGAAACACCAATCAGAAAGGATATATGCACCCCTATGTTCATAGCAGCACAATTCACCATAGCTAAGATCTGGAAACAGCCTAAGTGCCCATCAGTAGATGAATGGATTAGAAAACTGTGGTACATCTACACGATGGAATACTATGCTGC